GAACAGGAACAAACACTGCTTCAAGCAGTAAACAAACATGGTGAACAATGGCGACTTATTTCAAAAACATATTTTGACTCAGCGAGATCTAAAGATGCTCTACGATTAAGATATAGTAAATTGATCCCTCAGACACAGGAAGAACGCGCAACAAAAAGTAAAAGTAAACATTTGTGGACTTGCGAACAGGAACAAACACTGCTTCAAGCAGTAAACAAACATGGTGGACAATGGCGACTTATTTCAAAAAAATATTTTGATTCAGCGAGAACTAAAGCTGCTCTAAAATTAAAATATAATAGACTGATCTCTCAGACGCAAGAAGATCGCGCAATAAAAAGTAAAAGTAAATATAACTTGTGGACTTACGAACAGGAACAAACATTGCTTCAAGCAGTAAAAAAACATGGGCAAAAATGGCGATTTATTTCAAAAACATATTTTGACTCAATAAGAACTAAAAATGCTCTGCAATCAAGATATAAGAACCTGATCTGTTGGTCACAGGAAGATGACGATGTACTAAAAAAAGTCATGACTAAATTAAGTGCAAGAGAAGGGGAAATGTTTTTAAAATTAATTAAAGAAAAGGATAGCTATCAAGTAATCTCACGTTGGAAATTATTAAATAATATTCATGATGAATCCAAGGAAAGTAATGTCCCTAATGACATAAATGAGATTGCTAATAAGATTCCTGCACGAGTTAGCGATGAAATGATAAATAGAAAAAAAAATATATTGAAAGAATCAAAAGTGGAAAATACATTAAATATATTGAAAGGTGATAAAGTGAAATTAGGAAATCGTGAAGTCCTTTCTCAGCATTCTCAGTTTTATGATAAAAATTATGAAATTTATAAAATTGACGAAAAAGAAGTTTACCTTCTTTTGAAGAAATTATGATTCCAAAGTATGTATTATTTATTATTTTTATTATGTTAGTTTTTATTGTTTAAATTTATTTAGCATTTTAATTATATTATATTTCTATTTTATTTATAATTTTTATTTATTTAAAAACTATTGTAATATGCACAGCATCAAGGAAATTATCATGGCAGATATTATTCTCCTTTCTAATATTCTAACCATTATTTTAGTTGCAAATTTTAATAATAAATTGGTTTCTTAAACATCTTAAAAAGATGGGTTCTAATTGATTTTCAAAAGTAGCAAAAAAAAATTTTTTTTATTATTAAATATGCATATAATTAAAAGGTAAGTTTACACATTTAGAACAGAATTAAGTATATTTTGTATATATCAATTGTATATATATTGTATATATTGTCATACTGCATAATAACTTTAATAACTTTATAATGTCTAAATATGGAAGTTACTTTATTATATAATTATGATAAATAACAATTAGTTAATATAAATGCAAAATATATATTAACCATTCAATGACCAATCCCAAGATGACTTTTTTAATAAATTGTTGCCAATCACCACCCTTGCCAATTTTATTTAAAATTTTATGTATATAAACAAAAGTAATAATAATAATAACTTTTGAAAAGATATTGAATCTGATATATTAAATGCATGTAAAAAAATACAGATGTAGAATGTGTTTAGTGGGATGAAAATATTTAAGGAATAATGTGATTAAAATAATAACCTCTTTGTGAAGAAAGAAATCGAAATCGAAATTTCTACCAGAGAAAAACGAAACTAATACAAAATACAAAATATTAAATATAATTGAGTAATTAATGAATCGTAATAATTAATGCTAAACGCATAAAATAGATTAATAAAATAAAGTTTTCACCATAAATAAAATAAGGACTGTTTATCGGTTATGAAAATTACTTAAAGTTAGAAATTATAAGTAAACACGAAAGAAAATTATCCAATAATCCTTAGAATTCACTCATAGAATTCATTTCTTCATTATATTCATTGTCCGCATTCCTCATTTTCTCATTGTCTCATTTTCTCATGCCCTTTGTTGTATAAAATAAAAAGAGAATTCATTGTTCCTTATTTTTACTACTTGTACATGATTTAAATATATTTAGTTTTCCTAATATTTTTTGAGTCACACTTTTCTTTTTCGGATTTTCTGAATATTCAGCTTGTTGAGATAATTGAGATAATTGAGATAATTGAGATAATTGAGAAAATTGAGAAAATTGAGATTGTTGAGATTGTTGAAATTCAAATGATTCTACTTGTGTATCAGCCACTGATATTGATCGAATGTCCATATCTGAAGCAGTAATGTTTTGTTGCGGTTTTGATTTTCCACGTAAGAAGAAAGAAAATATTTGATATTTTCGTTTTTGATTTGATTTAGGTAAACAAGATTTTGGGGCGCTTTCAGATGTTATGTCTCTATTGGAATCTTGTGAATATAAATTTGATCCAAAGTTAGAATCTTGTGAGCATAAATTTGATCCAAAATTAGAATGATGAACTTGATGAACACTAAACGTTTCTTCTTCATTTTCTATATTTGAGACAAATATCTCCGGTTCTTTCTAAAAAAAATAACAGAAAAATATTTATATTAAAAATTAAATAAAAATGTGCAGAAAACCAACTTTTGTATAACCAATGAGATAATAATTTAAGATATAAGAATAATCACAAAAAAAACTTACCATTTCTTCTTCATCTGTTTCTAATTCTTGCCGTATGCTTTCTCGCATTTGTGATCGATATTTGTCAAACTATAGTGATAAAATAATAAATAAAATTAAATATTTATAAGATGACATTTGAAATATCTTTTTATATACTATACCTGAGCTATTAAATCTGCAGAAAATGTAAATGTATATCGATCCGATAATCTTTGATATACAGTTGGTATGTTATTATTTTTACGAGGTCGAGGTATAATTTGAGGAACATTAAGATAATCTGTATTTTCTATGAAGTCTCCTTGAAGTGTTCGATTGGATGATTCTCCCGTTGAAGAGGAAGCAATGACGTGAGGATCATCATATGTTATTTGTTGTTCATACATTTTGGACTATGCGCAGTTTAGTATTTAAAATAAAGAATAATAATTTATTTCAATCTATATGAATTTATTTCAATCAATCTATAACAATTTACGTTTATAAATAATGTGGTAATCTAATTGATAAATTTAAAAAAAAAAAAAAAGTTATTTCCCGGTGCCGTAGAAAATAATTTTTTTTTTTTTTTTTTTATCTTCAGAGTAATTACGAATTATTTTAATATTGATTATTTGTATTTGTATTTTTTGAGCTTTTATATTTTACATATATTTGTGTTCGTCAAATTCAAAAAATCAATGTCGTCAATATAAGTTAGTATATATAAGTTAATATAATTAACAATGTACATGGATAATAATAGAAAGGGATATCATTTCGACACAAAGAAAATTAGAGGAATAAATTTGATTTAAATATAAAGAAATTCGAATGCCGTTTCTTTGACAAATAAACAAGGATAATATAGGAAAGGGATAATGATAAAAAAAAACTAAAAGACCACAAATTTCAACCTATTTTAGTCAACAAGCCTTCTAATTAATTTGTCAAATGTAACATCGCAGATCGAAAATTTTATAAAACCTTACTTCTAACTGTCTAACTAAAAAAGTTAATGCACTTAAACTGTTAAGGAAAATCTCTTACCATCATTGTATTATGAACGAATCTCCATTGTGTAAAATGAAAGGTATTTTCGCTTTAAAAGGTACTTGGCGTATGACGATTTAATAAACAACAATGCGAATAGAATCAAAACAAATAAATAAAAAGATTCATAAGAACTTTTTTTTAAGAAGGAATTTTCTCTTTTGCATCTGGCTAAAAAAAAAAAACCGTAAAAGTTTAAATTTCAATCCAAAATACCAAATTCGTATGTTATCTATACTTTATAAGTAGGGGCTTTAGTCCGCTGGGATTTTTTTTTCTTCCGAACTGCGAAATAGACGAAAAATAATATTGTAACCGTTTTAATATAAAAATGACCATTTTTTCCATTTATGTATTATTAAAGATCATAACGATTGTACCATATTTAGGATATTTAGAAACCGAATTTCAAACAATAATAATTAATGCATAGCTTGGCTGTTAAGCATTCGTAGATTTCTTTCAGAAATTCACCTTTTTTTTGTAATCAATTATGCTTACAGTAAAACAATCACTATTATGTCAAAGACAAATTTTGAAATTCATTTAGTCATGTGTTAGGCTCATGAAATTATCACGTGCAAAGAAAGTAGATCGCAAAAGTAAGACCCTGAGTATACAGATAAACGAAATTGAAATTAATGCGTTGATTTTCTATATACATAACACAAAAAAGGATTTATACCCGTGACCTAACCCCCTAACTTTTACCAATAAAAACAAGTACGAATTTTATGGCTATCTTTGTAAAATCGTACAGTACAAAATAGCTTTTCGTACCGTACAGTTTATCGTCATACCTCTTGCACTGTACGGTTTTTTAACATATTTGTGCAAAAATTTATATAAAATCGTACAGTACAAAATAGCGTTTCGTACCGAACAGTTTATCGTCATACCTGAGAAAACTTATCCTAACCTTCACGTTAAATGCATGGATTAGGATTAGGACTTATTTTTAAGTAACGTGATGCAACTAATATTACATATTCACGTGATATGGAATAATCACGTTACTTATATATCAATAAGAGCGTCCTTATTCTGGACCCCTGGTTCAGGGTGAAATTTATGAACCCCCGGGGTTCAGGCAAATTATTCTA